GCTTATACAAGCTAATTAGTATGGGTTTGCTAATTAATACTGGAAAGTCAAATTGCCTTTGTCTTGTCAACTGCAATTAGCTGAAGATGTTTAAATTTCTTTTCTTTTTTTTTTTTTTGTTCTTCCAGTAGTAAACTCACTTCAGCTGACAAGCACTGAAATCACGTGCTGGAGCACTCAGCGGCAGCTTTCATGTATTCTCCCACTTTCCTCCAGCAAGACCCTGTGCCCTGGCCCAGCACAGCGTCCCCTCTAGCAAACACCATCCTTCATTGCGTTTTTTCCCATGGACACAATTCCCCCGAACCAGGGCCCTCCCCTCCCAAGGACACAGAGCAGGCAGATCCTGCCTTATTGAGGCCACGATCCTATCAGATTTATCCCACAAGTATTTTACTTCTAAATATTGCTATGTAAAGAATGAGTTATTTACCAGGGCATCTAAGATGCTCCCCACCGCATGTAAGAAACCCCATCAAACTCATCAGTGAGATCCAATCAGCTGGTTCACCAGCCCCAGAGCACGGCGCTTCATTCCCAGTGCTCTGGGGAGGGTGGCGAAGCCATTAGCACTCTTCAGGGTGGCGGCAGAGATGTCACCTCTGCAGAGGTTTATCCCAGAAGACCCATCAGACTGTATGATAGCACCTGACAGGTCTTTATTCCATTTCGCTTAGGGCCATAAGCCGGTTTGCAGAATGGCTGATGAAAAGCAATATCCACATCTGTCAGCACCCAGAGCAGGACGAGCCCTTCCGCGTCCCCCCAGCCGCGGAGGCTTCACAGCAAACTAACAAGCAGTGGATCACGGGTGAAAAAAGGGGAGAGGGATGAAAAGGTAGGTGAGATGCCAGGAATCCAAATCAGCAAACAATTGCTGAAGTGTCAGTTTTAAAGGAGTCTGAAAATAAGGCCATCCAGGTGAGACACTGATCTGGAGAAGGGGGGAAAAAAACACATAAATTAGATTTTGTTGTGGATGGCAGGGAGGAGAGCGGGGCTGATGGTACAAGTGCTGCAGCCCTCGGGCAGGCAGCTAATGGAAGAGCCCCATCCAAAGGGGACAGACCGCTGCCACCCCTAGCATTGTAGAAGACAAGAAGTGACGCATCGTTCCCTACCGGGGATATTTCACCTGGGGACCGTCTACCACCGGTGAAAAGCAGGAACAGTACTGTCACGTTTCTCCTCAGAAAGGAAAAAGAGGAAAAACAATCTCTCTTCCTCTGAAGCAGTTTTCTTGTATTTACTGAACAAAATTCAGAATGCTGAATAAAACCCACACTTCACAATCTGCAACCCGTCATCTAACACACGACAGAATACAGCCTGCTCATGTGAGATTGATGTAAGCTTTACTGGAAGATCACAAGACCTGCAGTTTTCCACCGAGTAACCCTTGGGAATAGGCACTGAACACCAACTGCTGCTTTATCCTCTGCTGATGGATGATGCACAATGCCAATTAATGCTTTAACGCTGGAAGTTCCAGTTTCTCCAGCTCTTTCCTAGCCTGTTTTAGTACAACAGACTTTTGAAGGCAAACAAATAACTCAAACCCCAGGCTTAACGAGCCAAGAAAAACTTTGAAATGCTTAAAAAATCCACACATCAGAACATTTAAAACATAACAGCAAATTTATCCTCTGACACGTCCACCGAGCACAATGCAAAATTGATTGTATAGAATTTAAAACTATAACAAGGCAGCATGTAATAAGATCAGATGGTGAATAGGATTAATTCCGTTTTCTTTGGAAATATCAGTTCTGGCCTGTGTCACCAGAGAAAGCGGCTGAGCATACAGAAATGTTTGCCCACAATGTTAAGACCACCCCAGAATTGGAATCAATTAACACTCTCATTACAGAAAATCTGATGCTGAAACAGCAAGGAGCACAAATTAAAAAAAAACCAGAAACTAGCAGATGTATGGCAACCTATTAATAGTACAGCGGGGGCACACCAGCGCTGCCCTTCAGCGCCCCGGCAGAGTTGAGCAGAAGTCTAAGACGACGAGTGTTGGCACTGCAGTTCGTGACTTGGGTGTTAGAGCAGAGGTCTGTTTAGCACCTACTTACCAACCAGTGATGAGTGCCCATCTTCTCATTAGTAATAAAATTAATCCAGTGTAAAACACATCTCCAGAATGAGTGTTTTGGATACTGCTCAGGTTTTTTCTTGTGACTAGAAAAAGTTTCCCCCAACTCACCCATTAGCAAAAACATTGGTTCACGAAACAGCTTAGTGCTGACACCTCTTTTATTCCCGGGTATGAAGAATCGTATACAAGAGTCATGAAACTGCACATAAACCTCCCTACTGCCTGGTTTTGTGGCCTCTATTATTTTTGGTCCTTGAGGGAACTGCCAATAAAATAGACAAACGCAGCAGAAAATTAACAGATATAATAAAAAACTAGTTTGTGGTAATTCTGTCGCATCTCATCTGCTTGTCCTTTGCACACTTGAGACTGAATCAAAGGCCCCCAAAGAAAGGAGTTAATTCAGTATGAAATTAAATGCTTGCTTCTGATCTAGAACTGCTAACAAAGAGAAAGCAAATTGCCACACAAAAAAAAAAGAAGAGAGACCAGCAGATCTCATCCAACGCTTGTTCCAGGTGAGTACGGAGACAGAGAGTGCCAAGACTAGCAGTAGCAATACAAACTTTTACAATGCTTGTTTGCTATTCATTTTTGAATATTTGGCACTGATCCATTGTTTAAATGAACGAAGCTTTGCATATGTTACTGTGAAACAATTTAAAAAACCCCAGAAGATGAACACTTACCATCTCTGCTCTTTGCTTATGATTTCCCACTTCTTCCAGAACTTGAGCCAGCTGAGCCTACAAGACAAAAAAAAAATAGAAAATGAAGTCTAGGGTGTATTTTTTGAGGTTTAATAAGGCTACGTTCTTCCCTCCCAACCAAAAAAGCCACCAAGGGCAAGATGACTTTCACAGCCTTGCAAAGGAATTATAAGCGTTGGGTCTCATTATGTCCTATCAGTGTCCCATTCCACGAGACACTGCTGTCCCAAAGAGCCTGCAGCCTACGTACACAAGAACAAACAGGTTTCTTGCAGAGAGGAAATCCACTGGATTAGCTATCCCAAATTTCCGTCCTGTGGTCCAGTCAGAGAACCACACCTCCTCTCCATGTCTTTGGAAGGTGCATAAAGAGTGGTTTAACACCCACCCAATTCTGCCATGCCTAACTTCAGAGAAGGAAGAGGCTCGCTCCACAGCTCCCAAAAGGTGTCTTTGTGTGTGAAGGAAACTTCATGGAAAATGTTCTGTTGAAGTTCTGGGGTACAGGGTTGGTTTTGGAAGCCTTCAAAACTGTTGCGGTAGAATACGGAGCAAATCCTCTTCTGGAACTTCACCCTACTGAGTTTCTGTGAGAAAAGGTCCCGATGCAATGGGTTTTTTTCTTTTTTAAGAGGAAATTTGAAATTTAAAGAATCTCAAACCAGAGTGGAAGTATCTTGTTATCCCTGTATAATTTGGGGAGAAAGGGGAATCTGACTCAAAGGAGCTTTCACAGGGTTTTGTTTATGAAAAAGAGTTTTAAATGAAATGGGTATTTTGGAGGTAAGAGAAGCCACGTACACTACTTGAGTGTTATTACTTCCCACATCTTTTATTTCACAACACTTTGCTAGCCTGCAATCAGCTTTTCTTTGGTGAGCAGAAAGCCCCAAAAATAGTCACAACGGATGACAGGGAACCTAATTTAAAGAATGCAAACAAACAAGACAAGAACTGGGAAAAAAAAAAAACCAAACTTTCCTACAAACCAATTCACGTAATTTCAAGCAGATATTCATTAAAACCCTCCAGAGCCCCTCTAACAATCTCTCGCCACACATGAAATGGGTCTTCTGAGTACAACATCCAAACCAGAGACAAATAGCAAGCAGTTTATTACAAAGAAAAGGAAAACATTAAGCTCTGAAGGCTAACTGCACCAAAATGCAAGCAAACAAAAAAATTACAATCTTAGGGTTCAGCACAGCAGAAGTTCAATTTTGCAAACAACCAACCAAACAGTTCAAGACTTCCCAGGCCCCAGAGCTCAGTGGAAACTGAAAAAGTTACAGAATCTTGCTGTGCAGGGCCTGGGATGATGTGACATTATTTAAGGAACAGACACTCAAATAAGATGAAAAGGGTTTTTTAATACAAGCCTGGGACCTGGCACAGGGAAATGAAACACGTTCATTAAACACTGCGGGAGATGCCAGTCCCACCAAACGCGGAGTGCGTGTACAAGCAAGTGAGAAGAAAAAATGAAATTATCACCAAGTTTGACGCTGAAGCATCAGGAAACTATAAATTTGCAGAGATCTGGGAAAGACTTTTTTCCCCCCACTACTATTGAATCAGGTAGAATCACACCAGCAGGCTGGAGCCAGAGGAGAGTCACATGGAGAAGAAATAGCAAACATCCCCCTCAGAGATGTTATTTATGAGATATGCTAGCATAGCCTTTGCAAAACACCCCAAAACTGAGTATTTTTGATCAACACGCCCAATTTTTCTGTATATTTAATAGCCCTCATCTATGTGAAGATGTGTATGACGTTTAGATGAGAAATTCTTCCCTCTTCTAAACTAGATGTGAACAGCCATTAAGAATTACTTATTTGCTTACAGTAGCTACCACTCCTGAATTTGAGGGTCGTTTCTCTGTTCAGCCTCCTATTATTACAGCTTCTACAGAACCACGGAGTGATTCAGACTGGAAGAGGCCAGTTTGACCCCCTGCTCAGAGCTCTTGGTCAGCTGGGTTCTGAGAACCTCCAAAACCTCTCTGAGCAACCTGTGCCAAGCCTTGGTCACCTTCACCGTGGAAATATTTCCCTTTACAATATCAAGAGAACAGCACCATAGGAACTTGTTTCACTAGATGGTATAAGAGCATTTTGAAGTACAAGACCTTGATAAAATTCAGAAAGAAAGGATAGAAAAGACCCTGACATATTTTATTTTAGGAAGAAGCTGCAAAAATGTTTAGACAGCAGAGAAATAATACAAAGGGATGGGAGAAATCAGAAACACAAGCAGGAATTATTCCATAATTTACCTTATATATAATATGTCTTGGGGAAAATAGCCAAATACAAACCTCTCAAGCCGCTATGCCAGCAGAGACCTAGAGGCAAACCTGGACAGCAAGTCCAACACAGCAGCGTGATAACGGCAGATCAATATGATTTGGAGAAGCAATCAGATAAGAATTAAATCACAAAACAGGTTTTCTTCATTGCATTTATTTCTCGGCAGTTACATTTCAAAGGGTAAGAGTAGTTAACTAGCGGGAATTCAGAGAACAGCAACTAAACTTACTAGATTGCTGGAAGAAATGATTTATGAAGATTAAAAGATTTTTAAACGTATGGTTTGACTAGAACTCTCGCAGAAGAGCAAAAGGGACATATTTAATGCTTTCGGAGCCGTTACAGCTGGAAACAAGGAGGCTTTTCCAGTGCAGCTGATCCTGTCGGATGCACTGGCCGCCCCGAGCCGGGACGCTCCGGCTGCCCACTCCCAACCCAGCATGGGGCAGAGCCCGAACTCCCCCCGGGGTCCCCTGCGCCTGCTGTCTCCTGGCTGTGAAACAGATGATCTGAATCCTTTATCACATCCAGTTTGTAAACATTAGCCCTACCCCAGACTTTTTATTAGCTTAAATCAAATATTGAACCTAGCTCAGCTGTTAGAGGACAGCTGCTTGCGAAGTGATTCACTGCCATATTCCTCCTAGGCCACAAGAAAATACAACCTAATCACCAGCAGCATGACAGATGCACGCATTTTTAATTATGAAGAAGAAATTAGGCCCTGAACTTATCCCCACGTCTCACTTAATCAGAGTGCTGGGGAGGAGCTGGCAGCCACCACGGCCATGGAGGGACAGAGCTGCAGAGGGCCCCGGGCCGGCGCTGAGCCCCCGCGCCAGCCCCACCTCGGGCCTTCACCGGGGAAGGCCTGACAGAAGCACTGTTATGTCGTTTCTTGGAATTTACCTTTTCAGGAATGAACTGCTGGTTTTCTCGGTTCAGTCATCTCTGGCCACTTGTAGCCAATAAAAGCACGGGCATGACCCTCAGCCATTTCGGGGGCCAGGAAGGAGACGGTGTGCCCCGGCCTGTGGCCCCTGTGCCAGCAGCCATGGGAGATGCTGGAGCAGTTTGCCAGTCCCACCTCAGGGTTTTGCACAGGGTAAAGCAATGTCACAGAATCACAGAAGGGTTTGGGTTGGAAGGGACATTGAAGATCATCCAGTGCCACCCCCTGCCCTGGGCAGGGACACCTCCCACCAGCCCAGGTTGCTCCAAGCCCCGTCCAACCTGGCCTTGAACACCTCCAGGGATGGGGCAGCCACAGCTTCTCGGGGCAACCTGCCCCAGGGGCTCACCACCCGCACAGGGAAGAATTTCTTCCTAATATCTCATCTAAATCTCCCCTCTTCCAGTTTGAAGCCATTCCCCTTCATCCTATCACCCCATGCCCTTGTCAAAAGTCCCTCCCCAGCTCTCCTGGAGCCCCTTTAGGCACTGGAAGGGGCTCTGAGGTCTCCCCTTTTTCGCCTTCTCTTCTCCAGGCTGAACCCCCCAACTCTCCCAGCCTGTCCTCCCAGCAGAGGGGCTCCAGCCCTCCCAGCATCTCCGGGGCCTCCTCTGGCCCCGCTCCCACAGCTCCGTGTCCTTCTGCTGGTGGGACCCCCCGAGCTGGAGGCAGCACTGCAGGGGGGTCTCCCCAGAGCAGACCAGAGGGGCCAAGAGTATATCTTTAAAGAGTCCCTCCCCACCTGCCTATGCCCCATCTTTACGTAGCTCAGCTTTGTTTCACGGGCTTTTCAACTCCTCACATTCACCTTTGGTATCTTGGGAACCTCTTGGTAGGATAGATTCGCGTGTTGAATTTTCAGACCATGCATAAAAGTTAACTTAAAGCTCCAAGGAAATTGTCATTACTTAATACACATGTTAAATTCCCACGGATCACTGAGCTCAAGCATTAAGAAATCTGATAAGCAAACAGATATTAAGAATCAGATATACAAATACATGTAAAGTCCAATTTGCCCACTGAAGGCAGCACAACCAGGTAAAAGAAAATCAGGGAAAAAAATCTTCTCAAGTATTCAGTCAATTACTTTAAGCCTCCAAAAAAAAAAGGGGTTGTCAATTCAGAACATTCATCTTACATGACAACACAGTCTAATCTACTGTCAATGCTCCTGTCGCCCTCAAAGCAAGTGGCAGGAAAGGAGAGATAACCCGTGCTCCGGCCTCGCCGGGATACAGCAGCTCAGGGCTGAAAGAGGAGCGGGAACGGTTTCCAAGGAGAGGAGCCGATTCGGCTCCCAAGGAGACATTTCTGAATTGTTTAGCTTGCTTCCCTGCATCAATAATTCGGCTTCTATACCTTCCAAACATCCGCCTGCCCTGACAGTGCTGGAGGAGGCCAGTCCGGGAGGGCTTAACGAAGGAAACTCAAGCGATCTGGTGGTTACAACGCAGGTGTTAACGCCGATCGCATCAACAGCCCCGCGCTCTTCTCCGGGGGCCGCACGTGAGCCGACTGCCCCGACTGCCAGGCAAGCAGCTCAAATGTGAGACTCGCTCGTAGGAAAAAATTAGCTACTCAATCTCTAATGAACAGTCTTTCTCTACACAACAATACCCTCCGCTCTACAAGCAATTAGCAAATCGAAGCGCTCTCTTTGTGGACCTGCATTAATTTACTCCTCGATGTTGCACATTAAATAGCTCATAGGTACGGCACAGCACAGTAGTAGCACCAGCCAAAGCCATAAAATTAAAGCTTGCTTCAAA